CTTGAGTATACAAATCCACAACATAGATATGTATCTTGGTACGGATCACGGCCAGAAGTTAGAAAACACTGCAGTATAGGATGTTTGGGTCATACGTCATCCTGAAAAACTTGTTTCTGAGGAATACATTTACACTGTAAGGTCAAATAAAATTCCATGGCCACTCAAAGAAAGTCAGTGGCATTGTAGAGAGGTCAGGGACAGTGACTGAAGTGACTTATGGATTTCAAGAAAAATTTCTACAGGTAAAGGAAGAGTCTGGATAGTGAAGCTACCTTCAGAGAAGGTACCTAGGCCATAGACCAGCGTTTACATCTGTAAGGACTGATGTACGCTACAAAGACACAGTCATCTCCTTTACCTAGAATTTCACTTTATTTTTTTAGCAGTTTCAGTTAATTACCTATTGTCAACTGAGATTTGAAAAATTTAGATTTCTAGAAACAAGTGTTAAACTAACATTCTAAACTGCAAACAGCATGGGAAAACCTCACACTGTCGTGTCGTGCTTGTCCACAGTCATGCCTGGCTTTACCACATCCCCACTCTGTAGGGGACCCAATCATCGGTCATTTAGAAGTTGAGCTGCTGCTTTGGTTGTCACATGGAGACAGTACTATTCCTGCTTGCATTCAGCTGACCTTTAATTTACTTAGTAATGGCCTCACGGTAAAACAGGATGTTTGTGATGTGGATACGCCAATGCCAAAGAAGCACTGTGAGAAAAAGGGAAAGATTTTCAACTAAGGCCAAAAACATCTTGTCTGATGTTTGCTAATTCTGTAGTAAGAAAAAACTGCGTACCCATGAAATTGTGAAACAAAAAAATTCATGGTAGTTTTGTTGTTAAACTTCATACTGTAAAAGTTACAGCCATACTGTATTAACTGCTTAGTTAAATTGTAAAGACATTACATTCATGTATATACATTATATATAAATAAAAACAAACATGTTTTGATACTATCTACATTTCAAGATCTTATAAGGTATTTCCTACAGATTAGGGGACACTCTCTTGACTGGGAGAGACAGATGAATGAATTTGTATGTGATTTATGAAGACAGGAGAAAAATAAACACAAGAAAGAAGTTACATCTTTCAAAAATTTAAATTAGATATGGCATATGGCATTGCTGGTGAGTTCATTGAGGTGGTGGATGGAGGAAAGAATGGATTTGATGAGGAAGAAGGCTCCTCTGGGTACCTGGAGGTAAGAAGAAAGTGACAGACAATAATGGGATCAAATCACAGAAGAGGGTCACTGGAATGGTTGTGCCTGGTCTATACCAATGGCTTTCAATTACTTGGTGGGAAACAGTGATGGATGTCAGAATAATAGGGAATGTTTTGAAAATGAGTCATTATGATTCAAATTGTTTTCCTAATAAAACTTGATAAAATGTGAACCTCATTTGAAGCTGAGAAGCCCTGGTCTCCAAAGTACCTTTTAGTCCCATATATAACTTGTGTTATAGAGGAGTAAAATGAAGCTAGAAGAGGTGACCCAGATAATGAATGAGTGGCCAGAAATGGACAGCTGACCTTCCCAGCATCTGGTCCTGTTCATTCCTCGGCAGCAAAGAGCTGATGCCCTCCATTTGCAAATAAAACAACACAGGCCAACGGACGCGGAGCTGGGAAAGGTAACTACGTGGGTCCACACACACTCCTCAGAGTGCTGCTTTCTGTTAAGACTCCAGCTCTGACAGGCACAACAGGGAACAGCCAGGCTGAAACACGCCGCTCGGTGTGATATGCTCTGGCCTCATATCACGATCCAGATCATGACAACATACAAATGTAGGAATCCAAAAGGGAAACACCAAAGCACTGGGTGGGTTATATTCTCAGCTCTCCTATCTACAGAGAAGTTCTTTCTCCTATGTTTCAATACATCTTTTTAAGCCATGGATACCATTACAAGCTTTCAGTTAGGTCTATTCCCAAATTCCTATTTATCTATTAATGTTTTGATGAACTTTTCCATTCATTAACTGATTTCCATGTATCTTTTTCAAATGTCTATTTCCCACAAACTTTAAGAGCATTTAATGAAAATGAAAATATATTTCTTTTTCTCAGTGATGTTCATACAGTTATAACTTCTGAGAACAGTTTCTTGAGAGATGTTTTGGGAGTTGTATTCCAGACATATTATCTTCATGGTCTTCCCCCTGGTAGAATGGAAAATAATCTTGAGACTCGCTCTGAATCTTCTGGTTCTAGTAGGAATTACACATATCCCACTCAGAGGGGCTGCAGGAGTAGAAGATAATAAGTCAAGGCATGACACACATGGGAGTGGCCACAGCAGCAACACAGACCCTCACAGGACACTGCACTGAGAAATGAGAGTGAATTGCATTTAGAAGGGAAGGGTGGACAGAATTAACAAGGCTTTTCTGAGAAAGGAGCTGCTCAGCCACTGAACAGAATCTTCACCCTTATCAAGGGTTGAAGTGTGGAGAGCCTTAACTCCTCTGTGCAGACCATCCT